CTTTCGGAGCATCTATTGTTTGGCTGCAGTTATTCCTGGCATCAACGTATTCTGTTCTAGTCGGGAGGTTAGGGTTTTTGCGCCAGCGATGGTAGGCTGTTAATTAGTTCCAAGGCAACAGTTCTAGAGCAGTTTTTGTTGAACCAATCCAATTGAAAATATGTAGTTTTCAGTCATAATTATTCCAAAAATTCCACAATTCCTTCGATACTCAGATTGGTTCTCTCAGTAAGAGTTTCATCATCTTTCAATTTTGTTTTACTATTCGCAGAGTTATATCAATAGGAACATTTGTGAAATAACTTACTACATCAAAAATAAGAGTGTCATTTTATATCCAATGTGACATCGTTCAGTCTTAAGTATAAGGAAGGATGAGTATTTCTAATACTCCCACTTTTGCCTGAAATAGGATTGAAAATATTCCAAAAAAATTTTGATAAATTTCAACATGGGGTCCAATTGAGCTATTGGAAGTCCATAAAAATGTATAGGTGTGCTGTAATATGTGGAGATATTATTTCTTTCTGCAAGTGTCAGTTGATTTTCGTGTTTTTTAATAGTATTACGTATGTTTCTCTCAATGTTTACTGAAGAATCTCTATTCAATTTTGTATAGTTGCCATACAAAATCTATCTTGATATTGATGAACAGTAAGAAAAAGCACTGAAGGTATTAGATGGCGCTGGAGAAAATGCATGTATCATTCTAGCCCACACAATAATTTTTATAAATTTTATAGACACTGAAAATGAAGTTCCGTCATCCAATAGAAATTCTCTACATATGAAGACAGCTTTGTCGATTTAAGTACCCATTTAATATAAAAGTAGCCACATCTGGAAAGGGTGCAAACTCTGTAGAGAAATAATTTTGACCAATACTACGTCTGAAATTGTGAATACGGCATAAAAACTCTCTTTGATCAGGAAAGCCTTTAAGACTCACATATTTACCTGATCTGTTTTTCGTTCATTCTCGGGATCTGATTGATTGGATAGCTTGTTTTTGAATAATCACGGCCAGCAATACTTTTTTGTCAATGAACCTGTTTACCTTCATTTGATTACCGAACCTAGCACAGTGGAATATGGGGGGAAATAAATAATCGCTATTATTATTGTTGATATGCTCACTAACCTGACATTTTCCACTTCTTTTTCCTGTACCTGGCACTGGCGCGGTATTTGCTATTAGGGCTGACACCTGGTCCAAATCATGGTGGAAATATAATATGTTGTGCTACTCAGATATCTTGAATTCGTCTTTACTGCGCATAAAATTGCGAGTCTATACTCGCACCAAAATGATCACGGCTACTCGGACGAATTGATAACTGCGAGCTCAGACTGCGAGCAATTGTTTTACTCGCAGTGACGTATTCGTAGATGCGTCGTAGCACACCATATCATATAATTTCAACATGATCTAAATGAATTCATCGATTCAAGAGGATACACAAATGGGTCACTCTGTGGTTGTATTTATATCGAAACTAGAATCAAAACATCCTTGAAAATTGAATGAACCTGATCTGTAATGCAGGCAGAATACTCTCATCACACCGTATTATATAATAATCTGCCAATTAAGTCACATTGGTGTTTATTTCACCGAAAGAATTAGCTTGAATAAATATGGAGAATTCTTTCGGTTGCAGAAAAAAATAGCATGTTTCATTCGGATCAAAGTGACTTCGCTAGAAGCTCCGCCTCGCAACTGCAAAACTCGCTTGTCAAACGAAGTGTCACTTTTGATCCTAATAAAACAATTAACTATTACCTTCCAATTGATGTTTCGATTTAATACCACCCTCAATCGTACTACAAAATGAAATTTTGTCAGAACGCTGGACTCCTTTTTTGACCAGCTTCACAATGATGGGTTACAATCCATAGGGTTGCATCTGAAAACATATGTTGGGGGCTAATTTCAGCTACCCCCGATAATATTCTCTATATTAATTGCAAAATCTAGGTGAATACTTTGGAACGTTGACGTGTTTCGCAAATTCCAAGAAGAATTTATTCCAGTCAAACTCTCCACCCTCTACAAGGTTAAGCATACATTTCAATATTGTTAATCATTCAAGGAATCAACGTGTGACCATGATTTGTTTGAGACTTTTGGGTCCCATGAATTAGTATCACTTCCGAAGTTTATTCTCTAGTGAATGATGAAGATACATTATTGTTTATTGAGATAATAGCTTCCAGTCAGAAATTAAATTCTGGTATGAGAAAAAAAATGTAAAGAATCTAAAAATGCTAAATCGATCAAATCATAAAATTAGCAACAGAGACTAATCAGTAGATGGCAAAGTATCAATTTTATCCATTTCGTGATGAATCATGTTTTTTTTTTGATACAACTTCAAATTTTGGAATATGTCTGCAATTTTTTATATCATGTGATGGTTATTTATTGAAATCAGCTAGAGGAGCGTAAGTTAATTTTTTTGGCCAAGTATAGAAGTAGCAAAATCAAGATGAAATAAGTTCGATTGTCTTCTTATCAAAACAAAATTGGATGTCAGATTTTTGTTCATGATATTATTTGAAACTTTGAGGAAATCTATTTTAAACAATTCATCCAATGAACATTTTTCTGTTATTGCATAAGTACAATACTCTTAGGAGCATCAAGCATTTAACTCTACTGTATCTGCAGCATTTTTAGGGTAATTGGAATAAATACATTATGTTTTGTACATTTTACATGATTTATTCGATTTTGGCACAGGAAAGAACAATGAGCCTAGTGTCTAATATTACATTTCATTTTGTCACCATTTTGAGATATACGACTTAATATTAGGTTTTACATTGAGAATGTGCTTCACATACATTCATCACTAGCCGTCTAAGCTTTCATGGAATAATCAAATTACACGATGTTGTCAGAAAAAAATCTACAAGAATTTGATGTAGGTAATTACATTGATGGTAAAAATACTATATTATACTCTCGCACATACATTTGAAGTTCACTTGTATTCAGTTCGAAATCAAAACCTGACAATTTGTTCATAATCAATGTTTCTAATTTTTGGCTCCTAAAAATGTCATGGATTGCACCTCAATATTCATCAAAAGTCTTTTATTCATTATTCATTTATTATGAATATCACGAATAAAAAGTTGTAAAGCTGCTTTGTTCACCAGACAAAAAATCATTCACTCCCGAATAAGGTACCAATTCTGAATATTGAAAGGGCATCCTTCAAAGAGCATATCAGAGTAAATATGCCTATTTTGACAATATGAATTCAAATGGATTGAAGACGCATATAAAATAATATCCAATTTTTCAGCTATGGTTGGTATACTATCCTACAAGAGGTATTCTAGTACATCACGTTAATTGACATTGTTTGAAAAATTCGAATAAAATGTTTATAGGCAGAGAGTGACTCAAACATAGACAAACAAATGCGAATAGGCAGATTGAAATCGAATTAATTAAATCCAATCAGTTAGTTTATTATGGAATATTCATAAGAATAACCTGAAAATTGCGTTATCAAACCTTTCATACAATATCTAATAATTAACATATATGTTTTGAATACCTCAAAGTAAATGGTGATAATGAACCTCCATTATCAGAATGTAACCTTAAAAATTTGAATAACTTGTACTAACTCATTCATGACACTCAAAAACCTAAACAAACAATGTGCAAGAAATTCTGGATTTATACGGGGTCGTCTTAAGAATTACAGTAGGTAGTACGAAAAGATAGTACAAACTGAAAGTAGGTATTGTGTACGGGATATTTCGATATCTATATAATTCTTTATGACTAAGTACATAATATGTGTATTCATCTAACTGTAAGTATGTATATTTCAAGTTCGACTGTACAATTCTAAAAACCGTTGAAAATAAATAATATGACTTAAAGTACTGGCTCTTACATTAAAATATATAAACATCAACAGTTAAGAAACGAAATTAAAGTTGAGATACATTGCACTTTGTGAATTTTTCTTGGAAAAGTGTTCATTCTAGTCTACTGATCATTGGAAACATTTTTGTACCATAATGTTTTATTCGAAAATTAATACAATTTCATTACTCTAATAAAGCTACTTTCTTGAAGTTTCATTATCATCAGGAGACTAAAAATTAACGAACACTCAAATCATTGAAATACTGACTATTCGAGGCAACTGTAATCAATAATTAGATTTTCCAATCAAATGTTTTTTTTCATGATGAAAAAAACTAGGTAGAACTTGTTCAACGTGCAGAGATAATAAACTAATCATAGAAGCCTTTCAATACATGTAACTGAAAAATATAGATCTATATAAATGTAATCACACATCATAAAACTAAATGTAAATGTAATTTTCAAACTCAACGAATTTAGATTGCTTGTTTCACCAGGAATATGTATTCAAGAATAATCAACATCAGTTAATTTGAGTAAATTTTTCCAATCGTTATTTTAATGAATATATGAACATCATACATTTGAAAAAAACTACCAAGAAAATACTGATGAGAAATACTCTGAACTGGATAATGTATCATGAATAAGCGAATTACCGTGCTTCTGTGATTAGTTTTATTGTCGCACAATAATGATATAACAGAAATAAAGTCAACTGAAGATTTCAAATAATTTCGAGGATGCAATGTGAAAACCTTCGATAAAACTTTACAAGAATGTACAAAATAAAAACAAAAATGAAATAACTAGATATAAATAAATAACTTCAAGGTCTTAAATATATCTACATAACAATACAATTACAACACCAACTATCGGATACTTATCTGAAAAAAAGTCTTTTGGTATCTCTTTTTCCTCTCACATCCGAGATGGCACGTCGAAGCCGCCTCTTCAAAAGTCCTTGTCTTCAATATACACGAATGCGAATCCTCAATACGAACCTGCAAGGTTCCATCGCCGGAAATGCCCGAACGATCACGGACAAGAACGGACACTAGTACCACTGAGGGAAGCCCAGTTCCCTGTTGTGCCAAGCTCAGTCATCCTCATGCCTCGGACTGGAGTCGTACGCCATACTGTGCTCCTGCGCGAAATTCATCGCATCCGGGGATACGCTCTCGTGGGGGTAGTAGTAGCCCCCCTCCGAGCTGGGCCCCGCTCCGTTCATCATGCCCATGGGGGGCGATGCTGAGGGCATCCCCGAGGTCGAGGTGGCTGGGGAGCCGAAATCGCTGTTCGAGGGCATGAAGTTCATGTCGCTACCGTCGCGGCACCACAGCTGGCGCATCTCTTGGCGGCGTTGTCGCATCAGGGTTTTGTACTCTGAGATACGCATTTTCTTACCTGGAATAAGATGTGGGGATAAGCAACCTTTCTAGAGCAAACAAAGTGTTTTGGAGAACAAGCTTCTTCCATGTTGAAACGTTGCCTATCTACGTTTGTCATGTTATTCAAACAAGATGTTAGCTTTTTTATATTTTATTTAAGTGTTAACTTGTAAGAATAAACAATCTTAATCTTGTACCACAGTCATCATTCCACTACCGCCTATTTCTATGCTCCCCTTCTCCTCACACGGAACTAATGTCATCTGTCATAAGCTGACATCTGACATCTCCTTTTTTTTATATATGAATAAACAGGAAATAAGTCAGTAACTGACATAGTCTGACAAATAAGAGGGCTTTTTAATAGTCCTTCTGGATCTCTGAGAAACATTATCATTCATCACATTAGATTGGTTGGACATTGTTGAACTATTATGTGACAATGATGTAGCATTATCATTTTCTATTGATGAGGTCATATCATTATGCACATCATTATTATTAGTAATTTGTTCATTATTAACACTAATTTCAGGATCCATTCTAAGGGTTTCAGTGGGTGAAGCTTTATATAAATTAAACCTATTTCTCTGAACAGTTTTTCCACTTGGTAACATAATATCATAGGACCTTGGTCGTTGACCTTCACTTAGTATTTTACAAGGAGTTCTGTTATGGACATTATCTCTTAGGTACACAACTTCACCTGAACTGAAATTACTTAAATTGGAATTCTTGTTCCTATCATGAAAGTATTTATAATTTCTTTGTTTTTGTTCTAAATGAGATTTTACATCAGCCTGACTATTTTTAAACACAAATGTCTCCTGGGTTGGTAAGAAAGCATTTATATCATGACCAAACATCAACTGTGAAGGTGATTTATTCAACAGTGAATCAATGGGAGTATTTCTGTACTCCATGAGTGCTATATAAGGATCTCTACCACTATCATCTGCTTTCCTTAATAACTGTTTACATGTTTGGACATATCGTTCTACCATCCCATTAGACCTTGGATAGTAAGGACTTGAAGTGACATGTTTGAACTTCCATTTTTCTGCAAACTCTTTAAATTTATAGTTATTGAATTGTGGACCATTATCACTATTCAATATTTTAGGTATTCCATACCTAGCAAAATTGGACTTCAGAGAAGTGATAACACTATCAGTGTTCTCTGAAATGAGTTCCTTAAACTCTACATATTTACTAAAGTAATCTACCAACAATAAAAATGCTTTTCCTTTGAAGTAAAATAGATCAGTACCTATTTCTTCCCATGGACCATCTGGTAGTTTACGAAGTAATAAATTTTCATATTGATGTTTCTTTTGGAATTTCAAGCATGTCAAGCAGTTTCTGACAATATCTTCTATTTCCTTAAGCATATGTGGCCAATAAAGTACCTTTTTAGCTCGTATTTTACATTTTTCAAGACCTAAATGATTATAATGTATGAGACTTAACATTTCTTTTCTAAGTACTTTAGGAACTACTACAGTTTCATTTCTGAACAACAGACCATTGGTGGTGAACAACTCATGTCTCAAGGAATGATAAAATTTTAAATGATCAGGAATTCTGTCTTTCTCAGGCCATCCTTCCTGAACATACTTGATTAATAATGACATATCAGAATCTTCTTGTGTTGATTTTTTGAACAAGTCTAACTTACTAGAAGAAAATGACAGATTTTTCATTATCATACAAACATGCACTTGCACTTCTTGATCTATATCAGTAATATCACAATCAGATTTAATATAAGATCTTGATAATGCATCAGCAATCAAAAGCTCTTTGCCTGCTTTATAATGAACTTCTATATCATATGGTTGTAAACGTAATCTCAATCTCTGCAATCTGAGAGGTGTGTCACAAAGAGATTTTTTAAAAATACTTTCCAGAGGTTTATGATCACTTTCCACTAGAATTGATTTACCATATATATATTGATGAAATCTCTCACAACCATGAACTATTGCAAGCAATTCTTTTTCAATCTGTGCCCACATTTTCTGATTTGGAGTTAATGCTTTAGAAGCATAAGCCACTGGCAAGTTATTTTGTAGCAAGACAGCTCCTAAACCTACACTACTACTATCTACAGACAATACAATTGGTTTGTTTGCATCATAATATTGCAATATAGGAGTATTAGTTAGCATCTGTTTGAGTTTTATAAAATCACGTTTCTGATTTTCTGACCAAACAAATTCTACATTATTTTTTAACAATTGTCTCATAGAATCAGTAACACAAGAAATGTTTGACAAAAACTTACTAACATAAGTAACCATTCCTAACATAGTCTGCAATTCTTTTTTAGTCTTTGGTTCATCCATATCCATAATTGCTCTAATTTTCTGGTGATCTGGTTTCAGACCTTCCTTGCTAAATATGTGACCTACATACTTAACCTCTTCTTGTCCAAATACACATTTCTTCTTATTGAATCTCACATTAGCACTTCTTGCTCGATCTAAAACACTTTTCAGCCTATCATTATGTTGTTTCACACTATCTCCCCAGACAATCACGTCATCTATATACACTTCTACTCCAGGCAATCCTTCAAAGATTCCCTTGAAAGTTCGATGGAATACTTCAGGAGCTGAACATAATCCATATGGGACTCTAAGATAGCAATATCTTCCAAAACTTCCAGCATTGAAGGTTGTTAATAGCTGACTTTGACTAGACAACTTTATTTGATAGAATCCTTTATTTCCATCTAGAATTGAAAATATTTTGGCTCCAGCCATTTTTGAAGCTATTTCTTCAAAGGTGGGTAACTGATATCTTTCTCTCACTATAGCTTTGTTTAAGTTTTGAGGGTCTAAACAAAGTCTCAGCGAGTTATCTGGTTTTTTCACAACCACAAGTGAACTCACCCATTCTGTAGGCTCAGTTACTTTCCTTATTATTTTCATTTCTTCCATTTTGTGTAGTTCTTTTTCCACTTCCTTCTGTATACTGATTGGAATCTTCCTTGGTGCTTCAACTAATGGATTATAGTTTTCTTTCAATTTTATGTGGTATTCTGTTTCTAGTTCTCCTATTCCACTGAACAAATCCAAATTATCTTGCATCAGTTTATTATTATTATTTGAATTTGTATTGCTCTCAAGTGTTTCCACTTTTTTTAGCAAATTCAATGCTTCTATACCAGGTAAACCCATAATACAAGGTGCCTCAAAGTTTACTATTTGAAAATCTAGATCTACTATTTTATCTTTCACTTTACATTGCATGGTAGTTTCACCATAAACACTTATAATAGATCCATTGTAATTTTTAAGTTTTGTCTTTGATTCTCTTATTGAAGCTGACAATTCTTTAGCTGTTTTGTGATTTAAAATATTAACTTGTGCTCCTGTATCCAGCTTGAATGATATATCATTTTCATTGATTTTTATAATCTCAAACCATTCTTTGTTTGATCCAATGATATCAACTTCTAACTCATTTTCTTCAGAATGAATCTCTCCGACAAACAATGATTCTTCTACTTGATCATAGTATTCAGTTTCTTCATGTTGAACAACATTCATTTTTCTCTGTCTGCACATTTTTTCAAAGTGATTATACCTTTTGCAATTTCCACACATTTTTCTATATGCAGGACATTTTCTTGGTTCATGCTTTGTACCACAATAAGTACAATTATTATCATTATTTCTCACAGGTTTTGTTATTGTTTGTTTGGATGTCTGCTGTGGTCTATGTGTATTTTGTGAAGAATTTTGTTTACTTTTTCTGACAAAATTCACACTAGCATTATCTTCTTCTGAAAGCAGTTGTCTTGTTTGTACTTCAGCAAGTTCTGATGCCTTGCATATGTTTATACATTTCTGCAAATCTAAATTGGGTTCTCGCAAGAGTCTGTCTTTGATTTTTCTATCATTTACTCCACAAATTATCCGATCTCGAATAAGACTGTCTTTCAGATCACCAAAGTTACAATCTTGGCTGAGTCTTTTCAAATCAGTGACAAATGAGTCAATAGGTTCTCCATCTTTTTGTGTTCTTGTGTTGAACACATGTCTGTTGATGGTCTCATTTGATGTGGGTATAAAGTATTGCTTGAATTTATTTAGGATTGTTACATAATCCTTTCTTTCTTCTTGGGTAATTTCCAAAGTATTGTATATTTCTAGTGCTTCCATACCAATACAATGCAATAACAAAGCAACTTTTCTTTCTCCACTAATATTTTCATTAGTGGCAGTTCCTGTGGCATCCATGTATAATTCGAATCTTTGCCTCCAGCGCTTGAAATTTTCAGCTACATCTCCAGACAGGGATAACTCACTTGGCTGTTTGAGATTCTCCATCTTGTTTTATCGTTCACAAAGGCGTTTGTGGAACGTAAAATGAACACAATAGTTCCTGTTTATTTTCCTATTCTTCTATCAATGAACACACTAGTTCCAGCTGCTTTTATTCACAGGTTCAATTTCGCAGCGCCATGTCATGTTATTCAAACAAGATGTTAGCTTTTTTATATTTTATTTAAGTGTTAACTTGTAAGAATAAACAATCTTAATCTTGTACCACAGTCATCATTCCACTACCGCCTATTTCTATGCTCCCCTTCTCCTCACACGGAACTAATGTCATCTGTCATAAGCTGACATCTGACATACGTTCATCAGATGATATTTGATGATTATACCGGGTGTCCCAAGTTATCGTATACAGGCAATATTTCGCTTATTTGACAAGATAATTGAAAAATTCAAAAACTGCATTGATTGGCATTGAAGTATGTTCCTAATGACATATAAAAAATTTATCACATTCGACAGTTCTCTGACAGCTATCCCCCACTTTCAATTTTCAAATAGCCTCCCTGTATATTGTCATTGAAAGTTGCGTGCCAAATGATAAGGAATAGGAAGATAGCAAATACAGCAACATTCAATGAAGTGAGAATTTCAACTAAAATATATATCATGCGAATAAAAAAAAATGATAAAAAAATCGAATGTTCAAAATTATTTTGACATGAGAAGTATTGGCTTTTAAAAACAGGAAACACGAGCGGAGGCATTTTTATCATTTTCGTACGGATAATTATGTATTGAAGAGGAATATTCTCAGATATATTTATGAATGAAAAAATTGATATATAAATGATGTGATGAAAATATTAATTCTTTCTCGGTTTATTCAACAGAAAACTTTCCTGGCTATATGCCACGACGAGTATTGAATTTCATCTATTGAACATACATGATAAGAATTTGGAAATAAAATCTTCTGAAGTAGAGCATTTGCATTCTTATTTATATAAAGATATGCATATACTATCATTCTGAATATTCAACAGACAACAACTACTTTCCTGGCTATTTCCGACGGCGAACATTGAATTATATCTGTTGAATATCCAAAAAGAGAGCATGAATAATCAAAATCCTCTTAAATTGAGCATTTTCATTATCACTCAAATCGAATAGAATAATATGATGTATTATGATATAAAAATATAACTTACCAATATGTTCAGTATTGAAATGAAAATTGAAATGTATAGGAGAGGTACACTTTTATGAACGCTGATCTTGATGAGCTTGGAACTTCCAAAAAAATCATTCGTATCAGTGATATGGGAATTATATCTCTCACAAACAGTTTATATGACTTAACTCGAGTTAAACTCATTTCGGATTTCATGTATGATAAATTCTGAATTGAGAAAACCTAATCACGAATCTGCGATTGAGGTCTATAAAAATAAAAAGTTTCCATAATTAAGTAACTTGAAACAAGTAAAAAAATGTCGATATTCTTGTTGTTATCGATAGAAAAATACCAAGTACACGCTATCGTTGTATCCCATATTGAATGACACGTAATTTCCAATGACAATATACACAGAGGGTGCCATTTGAAAATAAAAAGTTTAGGGTAGTTGCCACAGAACAGTCAAAGGTAATAGATTTTTTTATATGTCATTACAAAAGTACTTCAATGCCATTCAATGCAGTTTTTACTTACCTTAACAAATAAGCGAGATATTGCCTGTATTCGATAACTAGGGACAACTGGTATAAAATGTTTCACTTAGAAGTTCTACGATATTTTTATAATACACACTTGTATAACTTTAGTTCTCTTGGTGTACCTTGTGTTGAAATAATTAACTCGTACATGAATACAATTTTCTTTATTTTTGAAACACAAAAGAGAGATTTCTCACAAAGTACTCACCATCAACGATACATGTCCTTTTAGGTCGTGGCCTATACCGGTAGTCGGGATGCTTCTCCATATGCAGTTTCGAGAGCCTAGACTGTTCCTCATAGTACGGTTGCTTTTCTGAATTCGACATGGCCTTCCATCTAGCCCCAAGGATTTTTGATATGTTGGAGTTGTGCATGTCTGGACAGGCTTTCAGAATTTTCCTCCTCTCATCCTTTGCCCAAACCATAAAAGCGTTCATGGGCCTCTTGATATGGGGTTTGTTCTCGTTTTCCCTTTTGGCTTGTTGACGGATAATCTTCGCTTTTTCTGAGTTATCTTCCATCTTGAAATTTGGATCAGGTGCTCCCCATACTGCAAAAATAGGAATATGATTATCTTTTGCTATAATATTATCAACAAATATTCGCTTTATATTATGCTTGAATCGTTGAATGAGAACTTGACTCAAATAATTTAGTTGAGTTGAGTTTTGAATACAAAACAACTATTTCTATATAATAATTTGAACTACCTAATTATCCATTGATGTGTATATCCCAACATTATTGAATTGGTTATACCTACCGCTTATTGCAGTATAGTTAGATATTATACAGTGAGGACAAAAAGTCCATCGCCCCCTCTTTCATAAATTATTCATTTTCCAAGAAATGTAATATGCTTTCAAAATGTTAGAATAGAAAAGTGAAATTCATTGTGTTCGATTTGTAACGGTTGAAATGGTGTTAAAATAGTTCAATTAATACTTTTCAATTGTTCGCTATATTAGCTTTTTTAAGAAAGTCAGTATGAATGGAACTTAAATCATTCGATAGATCGAATGAAACCCCACAACGTTTACATAAAATATTTTCTTGTAATACGAAAAATGAAGAAGATACGAGGAGGGCTTATAATTGGCAAAATAATTGTCGAAAATATATGGAAAAATTCGAAATTGCTTCTAAACTTGATTTATCAATAAATCAGCATGTTCTCAAAGAAATGTATCTAGTGGAAAAATGAAAACAAACAGTTCAATGCTTATCATATAAAATACTGCTATAGTCGGGACTATTATTATGGCACTGTTTTGAATTATTGTTTCTCCGTATTTTTCACGACATATTATGTGAAGAAATATTGGCCATGAACGCTCATTCTTTTAAAAAGAAAGTGATTCTATAGTTGCGATCGATATTTTTGTAATATATAATTTGAACTGTGTGAAATAGGAAGTGGAATAAGCAGAATGTATTATTTCTCAATTCATCGTGGGTCTTTTGTCGCAACAATAATTTCTTTATTCTCCAATCTACAAGACTCCTATTAACATAAAGATTTCAGTCACACATGATTACAAAGTTCTCATAGTTGTTACTGTTTCACTAAATGACGTTCAATTTCGATCTAGAAGGTACAATTATGAAATAGCATTTGTTCGAATTTGATGTACTTGTCTATTACTAAATGAAATAGTGAGGAACTCATCACATTATAACCACTAATCATTTTACATTACAACTGTCCCTTGAATATCAGAATAAATATAAAAATAGTATAGGGGTGGAATTAGAAAAACCCAACGAACATAAGTGACCTAGAAGATAATTATTATAAAATAGTTAGATAATACAGAGAAAAAAAATCCGCCTAACTCTATCCAAAGTATACATTTCCTAGCATCATTGTAGGGAGCCAAGTCCCTAGGGAGGAAAAGGACTTTTCCTTCTTAACATTTCCTCCCTAGGGACGAACAGTGAAAGTGACATCAGGGTACGTCATCAATGAAATAACTTATATGGCATTGACATCTGAACTATATTCTATTATACAGGGTTATTCGACACAAAGAATTGTGACTATAGAATTTGGTTTCTCGACAGTTCTTGTTTTAGAAAGGATAGGGACCTATGAGCGCTACATTTTGAAGATATTTTCATGTTGTACAGGGTGTGTCAAACACACTGAATCTATCAAAGTTCCTATTTTATAAATGGAAAACCCTGTATATCATTGCATTTTTAGATTCTCCCTGAAGAGCTGATTCCATCACACTTGGGATCTAGCGAAAATGATTACAAAGATATAGGGTGTTCAAAATCTTGATTTTTCAAATTCAGGATTTTTTGTCCCGAATATATTCATTACTGGTTGAAACGGCTCACTACGGCATACTACTGACATTCAATGAAACAGATACAGGGTGGTTCAAGATTCAGAATCCTGATCACTCGGTATCTATTCTCATTCAATTACTCTACCACAAATCAAAAATATGTAGGATGCAAGAATGGTCTTGGTTTTAGTTACTTAATATATTTTGTTCGTTATTTTCGTTAAGATTTTTTTATAATGACTTATTTGAGGACTTTGAGGGAGGTGGAAAAATCATATGTACCTATAACATGGGTGTAAAGCGCCTTTTTCTCCCTTGAATAATTACTGGCCTCCGCTACGCGTCGGGTAAACTTCATCCTTGGGATAAATAGTTGCACTTCCGTCCCTTGTTACACAAATAGCTATTTTATACAAAATGACAAGGTTTGCGCAAATGCGAACGAAATGCGAAGTGACATTTTTTTTTCAGTTTTCTACGTTACCACGACACCGTGCACGAAGTATTGCGCGCCTCGTTAAAAAATCAGTTCTCGTTCACCAAAGTAGAATTTCGCGCACTATATACAATAATACCTATTGTTAATTCAGAGTATGAAGAATTCAGCTACATGGAGAATTCTCAGTTCATCTGGAAATATCAAGGATGCAAGTAGGTAAGTGATATCAATAGAAATGAGTGATTCGATAGTGATAGATGAGAATTGCAAACAAAATAGGTTGCAGTCATCTTTGAGTTCTACGATACATTCAAAATTGCAGAAGAAGATTAATTATTTTGTGCATAATATGGTGTTGAGTAATGAACTCTCCAGTTCAATAAGTACATTGATTGAGTCACTGCTTACAACAATTTCTCAACGAGAAATTCCTTTCGTTCAGATGGTCCGACATTTCAATGAAGCGCTCCATGTATCTTTCAAGCCGTTTCACAGTAACAATAATATTAATTGTATTTTTGGCAAGAAATCAAGAGATACGTTATTCATCTCGACTATATTCATCACAATTGGAAAAATATATCTGTTTCGTGGAGATCAAAGAGCATTTTATTATTCTGCATTCAAGTGTGGATATAATTTTTGTTTGGTATAAATATAGGAATCTATTGTTATTTTCCAATCCTCCTAGAATCATAAATATGAGTTAACTACCGATACAGTAATATACAGAAAGGAATATTCTCAGATAAATTATTTATCAATTCTTTCTCGGTTTATTCAACAGAAAACAACTATTTCCCTGGCTAGATGCCACGTCGAACATTGAATTATATCTATTGAACACACGATAAGAATTGAGAAATCAGAATCTCCTGAAGTTGAGAATTGGTATTCTCCTTCAGATGAAAATATGTATATGCACATAGTATCATTCTGAATATTCAACAGAAAACAACTACTTTCCTGGCTATTTGCCACCTCGAACATTGAATAATATCTGTTAAACTTCCAAAAGGAGAACAAGAAATATAAAAATCCTCGGAAATTGAGAATTTACATTCTCTCTCAAATCGGATAAATAATATGATGTATTATGATATATAAATATAACTTACCAATATGTTCAGTATCGAAATGAAAATTGAAATGTAAAGGAGAAGTATACTTTCATGAACTCTGATCTTGATGAGCTTGAAACTTCAAAATGATAAAAAAAAATTCAAGCTCGTCAAGATCAGAGTATATTCGAGTATATTTTTCCCATACATTCCAATTTTCATTCCAATACCGAACATATTGGTGAGTCATATTTTTATATAATGGAACATCATATTATTTATCCGATTTAAGATAGAATGTCAATTCTCAATTTCAGAGGATGTTTTTTTTCATGCTCTTCTTTTCGCTGTTCAACAGCTGTTTTCTGTTGAATAAACCGAGAAAGAATTGATATTTTCATCACATAGAGAATGTGAATTCTCAATGTATTTCTTCATATATATAATTATATCAATTTTTTCATGTTCATAATTCATCTGAAAATTTTTTTTCTTCAATACTTTCACCCAATCAAGGGGTTCAAACTTGAACGATGGAAACTTGTTATTTTTATAGACCTTCAATCACAGATTCGTGATTAGGTTTTCTCAATTCAGAATTTCTCTCGACGTCCTGTATGGTTGATATCAATACATATGTCATACATCCAAAAACATGATATAATTTTATAATAAAAATTATGAAAAAAAATAATTATTGTATTTTCCTATCCCTCTGAGAATCAAATATCCTTCCCCAGTAGATATATTCATGAAAATAATAATTAGGTGAACGAAACTTCGATAGACGCATAGAATTATATTATCTGATCAGTTTCTTGACGACCTCAACATTATTGATGATGTGATATAGGGAATGTTCTAAAATTCTTTAAGGCGATTTCAAAATCGCACTTTTGATGTCTGTGAATCAGTGCATAATAAGTGCATATCAAAACACATATAGTTATGGAAAAAAATTCTCATTTCGACCTCAAAAATAAACCCTGATATCTCTCTAGTGGATTATGAAATGACTTGTATAGGATCTAGGTCTACGGAAAATATCCACTTCCTCCTATGGAGATTATCGAACATTAAAAATCAATTGCTAAATACAGGGTGATTCAAAAGAAAGCAGCATCCTCTTGGAGATTCTAAATTAAAAACTTAAGGTAAATTAAGGGTAAAAACTTCCCTCTTTACTTTTTAGGTTAATGTGATTTTGTCTGAAGATTATAAAATTCTAAATTTTTTACGTAAAAAAGACACTTCAATTTCGATTCAATAAAGCCTACCGTTTACGAGAAAATCGACTTTGAACACTTTCTGACTTCAGTATGTTTATTGATGAAAATTATTCTGTATTACCATGAAAAAAACAACCCTTTTACATTAACATTATTTGACCTGTTTGATTCAGAATCTTATTGTCCATAAACTGTTCATACCGTGCACCAAAGTTTTTAAAGTTAAAGGAAAAAAACCGTCTTTACCATGTCCTATTCAAAGGGCGTAGCTCCCTTAGAAAATATTTTCGGACCCACTTTAATAGGAACTGTTTGCCTTATTATTCCTATGCAAGGATTACGCTCCCAAAAGGATGCCGCTTACTAATGAATCACCCTGTATATGGATCAGTTTCTCCCAACCGCATATGGAACCCATAGCCAATATTGATCGATAATTGGAATCAGTGATTAAAAATTGAACAATCCCAAGTATTGGCAGAAAAAGACTCATCGAAACTGTATTCCTATACCAATAGGCACTATTAACATATACTTTTACATAAGAATTTTTGAGTAGATTTTCGTTATCTCCAGACACCCAAGAGTCAAGTTTGAATTACTTCGACCAATTAGCTCAAGGAATTTGAGCTTTGGTCTTTTGGAATAATACTTACAGTGACATTGGGCCAAGAAGTCCCTCTCCTCCTTGATATTCTCCTCCTTGGGCCCGCTCATATGAGGAGGTGTCGGCAGTCCATACAACCCCGGTAGAGGAAAATGATTCTGCTGCTTATCCTGACCCCCCATATCCTTGCTCTGCTTCCTATCCATACTCCCAGGCATGGGAAACTGAGGAGGCAGTCCCGCGTAGGGCAGAAACGCTCTCGACATCATCAGGTTGTGAGGTAGCAGCTTCGGCGCGGTGGCAGCCACCGGCTGCTCGGGATGTTGCTGTAGGCTGGGGGTGCTCTGAGGACTAGACCTCGCTGATCCCGAGCTGGATGATTTGGGTTTGCTGAGGTTGAGGGGTGCGTCTGGGTCCGATGGGGGTAGTGGAGGTGGAGAAGGAGTGGGTTGACGTGGAGGAGATCGTTTTTCTTGGGAGGTGTGATTGGGGATGTGATTGGGGATGTGGGGCAGGTGTGCTGTAGCCGAGATCCAATTTGGTACTTGGTGGGGTGGAAGCATCTGGAAAAAGATTGGAATGAACGAAAATTCACTCGAATAGGAAGGATTACGTTTATTTCTTGTAGAAAACAGTTTCTATACAGGGTGGTATATATTTTTGTACAGGGTGATCAGTTAAGGGTAGCGAGGGCCATATCTCATAAGATATTGGTCGTATAGATTTGAAAAAAAAAATCATAATAAAAGTCGCCAAGAGAAATTACTGGAAATTATTTTCGAGTTCGTCAAACGTCCGCCAGAGGGCGTAACACCACCAAGTAAAAAATGGTATTTTTATAGAATTTTGTCTAACGAAAGTAAGTATATCGATGATATCATTTTCATATTTACTGACCATTTCCCTACATTTTTTGTCTGAAACGTTCTGTTCTATCTATCAAAATAAAGCGATAGGGGGGAGTTCAATTGTTCAAGATTTCTCTCGTTTATTTCGACCGATTTTAGCAAACTTAGGCTCATACAGAGATACATGGGGCGCAAAGTATGTAAACCTATTTTATTTTTCCAATCCAAAGCCGTTTGTCTAACGAAAAAAACTCAAGAGGTTTTTTTGTTAGCAAATAAGAAGAGATTACAAAACTGATTCTTATTTTGATAAAAAACAGTGGCGTGCCATTTTTTAATGCAATAAAATTATATTTTGGTCAATATCAACGATTCAAAAAAAGGTAGATGATGAAGTATTTTCATTAAATTATAGAGAAATTTATCCTCTTTCGAAACATATAAAAATTGATATACCATTACATTTGTTTTTTTAGAAAAAAACTCGAAAATTTGCTAAAATTTCAGTTAACGCCATCTAGCGGCGACAGCAAAAGTCAAAAATCGAGAACCAAATAGGCGTTTTGTAGGGCAGATTATGCTCTATCATATGAGCCTAAGTTTGCTAACATCGGTAGAAATGAACAGGAGAATTCTTGGTTTGTTTAAAAAAACAATTTAACTTACCCCACTGCTTTATTTTGATAGATAAAACAAAACTTTTGTGGCAAAAAATGTAGGTCAGTATTCAGTAAATATAAAAATGATATCATCGATATACGTTCATTAGCCAAAATTCTATAAAAATCCCATTTGTGTTCACCCTGTACATTGATTATGAGAGGTTATAACAGGACTGAGAGAACATACCTTCAGGAATGCATCATTACCTAGATACATAGCGTTGAAGTTCAATTGAAGAAAAAATCACATCAAAGGAAATACATAAGCGATTCTCTACCAATTGAGTATATACATTTTCTTTCTACAGAAAACATCGATAATAATAAAGAGGAGACATTTCCCTTTTCTGGAAATACAAATGCCTGCTTTTCAATTGGATCAGGAGATCAGGAAACCACTAAATTACTTATTGAATTCTGAGAAAATGATCATTATCACACTGATATCGTTTTTGATGCATTTGCAGTTAATTTTTCTTGTGCACGTGTATTATTGAGCATTTTATCGAGAAGTATTACAAAGACAACAATACATTTGACAAAACTACCCTACTGTATAATGCTATCGTTGATTTTCGATTGAACATCAAATAATTATATTTTGAATCCTGTATAATAAGTTTCCAGAAATACTTGCCCTGAGTAAAGAATTCCAAAGCATCACCTCACTAGTTTTGGTAGAGAGTTATTCTTGTCGAGTTTCTTGAAGATGAATTTCATATAACTCATGTATAGTGTCTTGTATCTTTCAGAAAGACTGTGCTAAACTTCAAAACGATCAATTCTGTATTTCAATAATCAATTTCCTCAAATCGAACTTTGACGCTCTGTAATTGTGTTATGAAGCAATTTTGGATGCAAACATAATTGGTAAGATGCTATAATCGATCATTTTCGATCGACCTGGAATATTTTCAGGACTGCAGATATACAGGGTATGTGAAAAGTCGCCATCAACTTTCTTACTATGAATAGAAATCTGAATTTTGTTCACACGGTTGGTTGGTCTTCTGATTGTGAGTTTTCTGAATATTTAGATATTTCTGAAAATAATTACCGCCGTAGTATTTTAAGTCACGATTATTAGAACGCCAAATTTGTGGAACAGTTAGCTCGAAGTCCAGTCTGACAAGTGATGTCCCATCGAAGGTCCCATTTTGTAGGTACCATTTGGGCGCGGGTGATTTTCGAATGTCGCATTGAAAAATTGCCAAAAAATCAATTTTTCCTAATGTCCCCTCTTTTTTTGACACGAAGGGGAAGAAAATAAAACATGACGATGTGTTACTTGAGCATTCGCTATGCCTTAGTCAAACCTCCATCGAGTTATTCGATGAAAATCAATCAAAAGTTATGGTGACATATTATGTGCCAATCTTCTTAGTTGAAAATATTGCTACTTAGTGTGACTGAAGACCCGGAATTGTCTCTAGGTCGGTATAGCTTTTGGGTTTATTGATTATTGTGCGATCCATTTCGTGAATGCGAATCAAAGTTGAAGACAATGAAAACACGTGCATATCGACTGCTCCTTAGTTCACAGTGATGACGACCTAGGAAAATACTTCACAAATGAACCCCAATTCCTCTATACTTACATGATTGCCGATAGGTGATTTAGGCACCCCAGGAGGCAGAGAAGCTTGCTGCAGCCCTCTCAGCTGTTCCAGGAACGGTAGGAACATGAGCTGAGCTTGCGGTCCAGCGGCGTACTGCGCCGATATCTGACCTTGGAGCTCTTGCAGCTTCTGCTGGTGTTGCAATAGCTGCTCCTGCTGTCGCCTTTGCATCTCGAGCTGCTTCTGGTGGGCATCGTTGATTTGACTTGCTGCATGAGCCTGAAAACAATGAGTATTGTCATCAAATGTCTCAGAAGGCGGAGAGAGAAGACGTATTTAAAGAGGAAAAACTTCACAGACGATAAGATTTACACAAAATTCGCTGAAATAGTAGCTCATTCAAGTGAAATGATCGTACAATTGATTCATCAATCATTGATGTATTTATCTTACTGATCTGGAGGATTATAATGAGCTGCGAGCAGGTTAGCTTCATGTCTTTAGCATTTTTTATGAACGTTATTCCCAACGTGTCATTTGTTCTTCAATCAATCCTCAAGTCATGTTGAAGTAGACATTTACATAATTTTTTTGTTGATGATTCGAAATAGATTCAACTTCCTGAACTTCTTGTTTTTTCTTCGAAGTTTCTTAGAAGCTGTAATAATGTATATTGAATCAACGTTGTTATATCTGTCTTCGACTGCGATTTGTTTTATGTTATTGAGTTCTCCATTGAAATTCTTCTCCAACGAAGAGCCATTCTCTAGCTAGTATATCATATGCTGCCATTCCATGTTGATAAAGGTGAGTTCATTAATTATGAATAGTTATATCAGTGTGGGAAGGTTTATGAAGAATTGATAAGTCGTGTTCATGAGATTATGAAATTTCTGTTGCTTTTTTCATGGTAATTTTGGATGAACTATTGAAATAATGATGAAAGTTTTCTAATGGTATTTTGGTTCCTCTTGAGCACATACTATTAAGTCATTTGCGTATCTATATACCAGTTCAACAATAATTGTTTCATATAAGAGGAACATCAAGTAATGGGCTCAATGGGATTTCCAATATCCGAACCCTGCAAAGAGGATATGTATATCCTTCTATAAAATTGAAAGAAAATGTTGCTTGAGACAAATCGATATAGAAGGTTCTGAAATATCTTGTTTTGTAATCAGATTACCATGGTTTTCATCTAACAACTCATCCGCCACTAATCGTATCCTTCTGATGTATAAAGAAGAATCCTCGAAATGAATGTTAGTTTGAAATCACAATATTTTTTATCGATGTCAGTGACAAATAAAATGGGCGGGCGAATAGGATAATACAAACAAAAGTATCCTTCGTTTACATCATATAATATTGTTTCATTCTCGAACTGCTATTTCAAACAGATTTCATTTGTGAAAGATTCTAAACGTAATTCTGTCTCTTTCCCGAGAAAAGGGATATTTCGAAATCACAGCGAAAATTCGTTATGCAGCGAGCGGCCGTATTATGAATGACGACCATTCATTCATAATCTTGTTTTACACTCGGGATGCCCCAATTACAGTTGTGTAAAATTTATCGCTCCAACACATTTGTCAAACGTTGAAAAAACAAAACCGCTTTAAAAACGTTGGTAAACTCATTAAAAAGATGAATGTAAGTTACGCATTATTTGGAAAAAGATTTACTCCCATTTGGAATTCCTTCAACATCCTGTATGAAGAAAGCAGAGCATGCAGTTGGTATCACAGTTTACAGTGAATGGAGGATAAAATTGGACAAGTGCCGAAATATATTTAGTAACAGTAGGCGTATTGGCAACCTGCTAGTATCTTGGGGAAAAGGGAACATGTGAAGCATAACAGATGGACAATTCTTCAATGTATATAGGACTGTGAAACAAAGACATCGAGCAATTTGAGCTCAGGTATTTTTGGATTACAAATTAATGGAATACTGATGAATACACTTCTTGTAATATGGAGTATACCCGTAGTTATTGCAATGATATACTTGAGAACCTATTTGAATGAAGTTACCTACTAGATATACAAAATTCGATGTAAATATTTTTTTCTACTCACATAACTAAAATGACATTTAGCGTAAGAATATGTACCAAACTAAATGATCGATTAATCACAGATTGATGATCTGTGATTTATTCAAAATATTAAACACGTTAACATGGCAACACGATTTCTTAAACACATTACCATGGCAACACAGTTTATTAAACACAGCTTCAGTAATTGGAGATATGTCTGGCCTGTCAATTGTAGAAACTGTCAACTGTCATTTTCGAATTTTGTATCAGAATTATTCAAACAATTCTCGTTTGTATATCAGAATTCTCCATTGAAAATATATGCGAAATGTAGACGAAAGTGAACTCGAAGAGAATGTTTTGGTACTTGCATATCTCCAAGAAGTGTAAACATGAAGCATCCATCTTTGAGAACAATTCATTTATTCAATGCTAAGCATGACAATAAATGTGAAACAAAGGTTAGTAGCAATGAACATACGAGTCTCGCTGGTTGCATGATGCAGTTGCATGTATTATGTTCTCAATTCCCATTCTTTTCGAATTACTCGTTACTCGTTACTAAAAAGACGTTTATAACACTTGTTACATAATATACTATAAGGACATTGTTGGGATCAAGATAATACTTTCTCTTCATTCAAACATTTGTCCTAAAATTCACCCCTTCCAAGCTACAGCCACTGTAAGTCAGATAATAAAAAAAGATATTCTGACTAAAATAACGGATCTAATCCTCTGAAAATTGGCAGGCCCTTGTCCTCTTTGACGATTTATTTCATTCTTTCTCCGAAATTCATGTAAACCCAGTTTTGGGCGGGTTGGAGAGATGTCCTCACTTCTATTGGCCGAAATAGGGTGCATTTTAGGACACATGTTTATATGAAGCAAAAGTCTCATTTTGATCCCAACAATATACGTCCTCAAAATAATTACATCGAATTTCGAATCATCCTATATATAGAATAATATAGATGTGAGGACAATTGAAACTCGAGAGAATGAAATTGATGCATGAATATACTATATTTTGGAGTGAAATTTACAGATGAAAATTACAAGATGGCGACTGGGTGTCATCTGAGAAAATAATTAATGGAAAAGGTGGTCTTATGACACATCCTTTTGAAGCACCTGACAAATACTTGACAACGTTAAAATAAAAATTCAATACTTTACCTACTACAAAATGCCGGAACATTTGATAATTGCCAGAATACATCGACATTCAACTCCATAATGGGGGAGACCACTGATTTTTTAAAACGACATTATCATGTACTCTATACTAAAATACTACCAGCGAATTAATTTTGAATTTTGTCATTCATGCTAAGACGATGAAAACGATAAATTAGAATATGTCCATTTCAAAGCACACAATTCCTGCGCCATTCGAAATTTTGTCAATTCATTGGTGTGACTGGTGCGACGTCTTAGTCCCAACACGCCTATTTTCCTTGAACTGACCAATCACACTGCAACACTGCAGAATGACGAGGTATCAGAGAGAGATAGCCAAAGGGGGACTAATACGTCACGGCTTCACCATCATATTTGGCTGTTTGAAATATCGAATGAAATATGCTGATTTCAAAACGATATAGATTCGATTCCCTTCAACTTCAACTCATAATATTGATTGTGGATCAAACGTAACTCATGATTCGTCGATTAAAAGAGGTTTGCACGGATTTCTTCTCTCAGTGGTCTTCCCCATTTGAGAAAATACGCTGAGTTCAGTTCGAAAGATGCTCGAAAGGGTTGCCCTGAACTTCTTGACATAAGAACAGCCTATCTGATATTTCACGCCGAACACTTTCGAACACAATTACGTCGATATATCTACAAATATTTATCATTCTCTGTCGTATATATCCAATATTGCTGCAGGTTCAGTTTTTTGCTTCTGCTTCAAATAGCCCCATGAAAAAGTCCAAAGATGTGGGCTGGCCATGCCGTAGGATTTCGACGGCTAATCCAACGACCGGGTAAAGTATCATCCAAATAATCTTTGGTAGAAGTCCATATTGCTCAAAGTGGAGTGAAATAGTTCACAGGAAGGAAGGAATGCTCGAAGTGATCTCCACAAATTTTAATGATATTTTTAACTAATTAATGAGGGACATGTTTCGGTCTTATAAAAGACCATCTTCAGCCTAATTGAAAAGTCTACAATACAAAAACAAATGATATTGAAATGAAAGGATTACCTATCTTATGCTAGACTTACTCGGAGTTGAAAAATTATTTTATTAAATGCTACTATTCCTTGAACTGTCCAATGCCCATAGTCGAGAGTTCCAAAATTCTGAATGAACGGGTTCTCAATAAATGAAGGGCCCCGTGCCCTGAGAGCGTATACTATGTTTTATTATCTATTCCTTTCCTTGGCAAAGTCTCCTATGACATCAAAAACATTTTTCATCGATATAGTGAGGATATTAACATCTCTTTCTACACAGTTGATAATATTTCAAAAAAATTTGTTAATTCTAAAGATAAAGTTCCTTTGAATCAAAAATCTGGAGTATATTCTATCTCTTGCTCTGATCCAAATTACAATGCCCAATATGTTGGACAAAGTGGTAGAAAAATTTCAACCAGAGTCACTGAACATGTTAAAATTATTGAAAAATCCAAGAATACCCCCCCTTTATTTGACGAATATAATACTAAAAGTTCATTTGCAAACCACATCCTAAATTCACACCATAGTTTTGATCCAAATCAGGACCTCAAAATTCTACATGTCTGTCCAAAAGGTAGGTTACTGAATTTACTGGAAATTTTCGAAATTAATTCTTCCTTGAATAATAATTCTGTCTTGTCTCTTAATGAGCAAACACATTTTGATTGTATAAAATTTTTCAATGCTTTGGATTTTAATCACTGATAGTTCACCTACCTTGGTCTCAACTTATTTTATGATATTTCATAGTCAATGATTTTTCAGGTTGCTCAAATGCTCAACTCTCTCCTACATGTATCCCTCCTCCTTAATCCAAATTCTCCAATAGTTGTAATAGATATTGTTAAATGCCTATGCTCATGGTCAGATTATCATGTTTTATCTCTTGACATTGACATTGACTCTATGTCAACGTCTTGTCCATGTCTTCAATTGACATAATTTTCAGTGTTTTTCTAACCTAATTAGTTTAGATTTAAAACACGTGCTGGCTGCTTGCCCCATCAATTTTATTGATATTTGCTTTAAATAACGCCTTCA